CTCAACAAAGGATCACCCCGGCACTAATAAATCATGCCTAAAACTGTCAAGCCATCAAATGCTAATCAATTGAAACATTCACACCTATCTCCAAGAGACAAGAGTTCATTCTCTCACTCTGGACATTCAACATATATAAAAACCCAATTTTCCTAGTTTCCAACAGACCTCACAACCTCTGAGGATGCCTGTCACAGATGCAGGTGAAATGTCAGGAGAGAATGCTTCTAGAACATGGCCATATAGCCCAAAAAACCCTACAACAACCCAATGATTCTGGCCATGAAAGCTTTTGACAATACATTAATCAGAAAGTTCTTCCTAATGTTTAGGTGGCATCTCCTTTTTTGAAACTTTAGTCCATTCTTCCATTTGGAACATCACAAAAAGCTGGCTTCATGTTCAATAGGACATCCTTTCAAATATTTTAACATCTTGTGGTCTCTCCAGGCTAAACATAACAGATTCTTAAGATGATGTTCATAGGTTTGAGCATTTTGGCCATCCTTCTCTGGCCACATTTCAGCTTGGCAACAGTCATTCCTTATTCTTGGAGGACTGAACTGAGAATTTCAAATGGTCTTGCTCATTACCAGTGATGAAGAGATGTCTAACAACTAGCCCTTCAGCTTCTGTACATGAAAAGGAGAAGTACTTCAGAGAGCAAAATGTCTATGTTGGTTCCAATTCCATTTCTGAAGATATCTTTGTTTCTAGCCTAGGAGTGCAACACCTTTGAGCTGAATTACTTCTGGAGGAGTCATTCTTCCTAACTACCTCTGTTGGCTTCTATTCCCTACTGGGTAGGATGAACAATTGTATTACCCTCCCAAGATATTTTGTCAGAATTTGGCACCTTAATATAGTTTTCTCTGGGCTATATATATCCTCAATTGCAGCCACCCTTGGCAAAGCTGCTGATAATATTTCATCAAGATGGTTTCAAAACTGATTTAGTAGGCCCAGCTGAAAAGCTTCTACTTGGACTTGCGTAGCTAAGTGCGTGGCTGATATATGACAAAGGCAGGAACCTTGCTGATGTTTTGTACACGTTCCATTGTACAAGCAGATTTTTGTTTGGTACATTTTGTTCATGAAGAAGAACTGAACATGTGGCACCAACTGTGTAAATAAGCATGGATTCATAGGTACATTGACATGCATAATACAATTTAGATGGAATATTTATGCATTGAGCATGCTTGTGAATTTGTTCATTTGGTTGTGCATTGAGTTGTCTGTTCAGTAGCACAAATGTTGCCCAGTGTGCACTACACTCAACATGCAACACCACATATAGAGCTTTATGTCCACATGCCAGGAAATAAAGCTCGACTGCTCACTGGAGGGAAGGATATTAGAGGCAAAGTACTTTGGCCACACAATGAGAAGACAGGAAAGCTTGGAGAAGATAATGATACTGGGGAAAATGGAAGGAAAAAGGAAGAGGGGCAGACCAAGGGCAAGATGGATGGATGGCATCCTTGAAGTGACTGGACTGACCTTGAAGGAGCTGGGGGTGGCCATAGTCAAAAGGGAACTCTGACGTGGGCTAGTGCATGAGGTCAAGAAGAGTCGGAAGCGACTGAACGAATAACCAACAACCAAAACTCCAAAATGTTTTCCATTTCATGTTTCTCTTCCTCCAAGAGCCTTGTCTATTCAAAGCTGACACACCATCTAAAACAGTCATATTATTCTTAGATACATCACATTCACATGGTAGTGATGGATTTGTGGCTTCGGTTTCCCACTTTTGTCTAATGTTCTTTTTTGTCATTTATTTATTTCATTTATACACCGCTTTTCTTAACCCCTTAACCCCTGGGGGGACTCAAATCACTTCACAAAAATGTAAATGGCAAAATTCAATGCCTTAGAAAATATAAGACACAACACATAACTAAAATAGCATATAATAATAGATTAAAACCAGTTAACTATAAAACAAACATAAACCACATAACATAAAACATAGGACATTGCACCAATCCCGAAGTTGTCTTGGCTGCCTGTTGAAATAAGTGCAGAAACTAATTTCTAAAAGTTGGAACATGACCTTTTAAAGCTCTGTTTGAGTCTGCTGTTTTATCTGATCATCAGGGGTGTAACTATGGAGAACCAGCATGGTGTAGTGCTTTGAGCGTTGTTGGATTATGACTCTAGAGACCAGATTTTGAATAATCAGGGAGTCATGGCTACCTACTAGGTGACCTGGGGACAGTCATTCTCTCTCAGGGGAAGGCAAAGGCAACCCCTTTCTGAACAAATCTTGCCAAGAAAATCTTGCAAATCGATAAACAATAAGTCAGACACATAACAACTATGGATGGAGATATGAGGGTATTGCCCCTTCAATAAAAATTCTGCCATCAAGCTGAGCTTCCTCGGTCCCCATTCTGGTAGAAAACTTCCCAAAACCTTCCAGAGTTCTAGTGCTACAGATAATGAGACTGAAAATCATTCATATCTGCAACCTTTAAAGTTATAGAACAGTGGTTCTCAACCTTCTTAATGCCATGACCCCTTAATACAGAGTCTCATGTTGTGGTGATCCCCAACCAAAAACGTTATTTTCATTGCTACTTCATAACTGCAATTTTGCTACTGTTATGAATCGTAATGTAAATATATGATGTGCAGGATGTATTTTCATTAATTTGACCAAATTTGGCACAAATACCCAATATGCCCAAATTGGAATACTAGTGGGGTTGGAGCGGGGTTGATTTTGTCATTTGGGAGTTATAGTTGCTGGGATTTATAGTTTACCTACAATCAAAGAGCATTCTGAATTCTACAAATGATGGAATCGAACCAAACTTGGGACACAGAACTCCCATGACCAACAGAAAATACTGTATTTTCTGATGGTCTTTCATGACCCCCTAATAACCCCCCAAGGGTCCCTACCCCCAGGTTGATAAACGATGTTATAGAAGGTATTCTGAAAAAGAATTCTGTTCCCTCCATGAATTTATTATTTATTTATTTCAGAGTTTTATATACCGACCTTCTCACCTCTTTCCAACCATAAAAACACATACAATCAGTAAAAACACCATCGTTCATATTACAATAACACATTAAAACATCAAATATATCCAAAACTACAGTGGTCAGTCATCATACTAAAAAACAGTTATACATCATCTTCCATCCATGTCTTAGGGTGATGTCTCACTCATCAAAAGCCTGTCTCCATAACCACATCTTCACCTGTTTCCTAAAAGTCAGGATAGAAGGGGCGGTTCTGATCTCCAGTGGGAGAGAGTTCCAGGGTCACAGTGCCACCACCGAGAAGGCCCTGTCCCTCGTCCCCACCAGACGTTATTTCAGTCCCCAAGTTTCTTCTTCAGAAATTGGTAGTTATTTTTGTTTGAATTGTGACTCCCAGAGTTCACCCTTCCCCCAAATCAATGGTCAAAATGCTGTCCATATCCTGTTATCATGCTTAAGTTGTATGCATTCCCTTACACCTGAGCTTGTACATTTTCAGCCATTGTACAATTTTTATATCCTGTTTGCTGTTGTCTTTAAAAAAAAGATTCTTAGAATGATACCATTTCACATTTCAACTAATACTCTAAAGCAGAGTTTCTCAAACTGTGCTCCTCCAGATGTTTTGAACTTCAGTTCCCACAATTCCTTAACAGCTGGTAAGGTGGCTGCGGTTTCGGGGGCCTGAACTCCAAAATACCGGGAGGAACAGAGTTTGAGAAACACTACTCTAAAGGCACCAGATCCTGTCTGATCTTGGAATCTAAGCAGGGTGAGCTTTGGTTAGTATTTGGATAGGAGACACCCCATTGATACCACATTCAGAAGAAGAAACTAGCAAAACTACCTCTGAGTATTCCTTGCCAAAGAAAACTCTATGAAATTCAAGAAGTCAACAGGTGACTTGAAGACATATACATGCTATCATTAGACCAAACTATAGTACAACCATTGAATCAAATGGATATTATTATTATTATTATTATTATTATTATTATTATTATTATTATTTGAGAAACAACAAGATGAGTCCACAGCAAACAATATCTGCTGGCTTTTGTATTTGATCACACATCGGACACTTCCCAAGTGTCTAGGACTGTGTGATGTATCAGTGAATAATGCATGCAGATTGCTGATACATCACACAGGGTGGCCTTTTGCAGCTGACAGATGGTGATTTTGTCAGTGCCAATGGTTTTTAAGTGCAGGCCAAGGTCTTTAGGCACTGCACCCAGTGTGCTGATCATCACTGGGACCACCTTTACTGGCTTGTGCTAGAGTATTTGATCTTCTTCTTCTACTACTACTATTTTTTAATCTCACAAAGTCAGTATTCAGTAGAAAGGTGTTGTACTGTGACCATAATCTAATTACACTGTGCAAACATTTTCACTGTAGAACTAATGCAGTTTGACATTGCTTTAACTGCATTGGTCAAATACTATGGAGTCCTGAGAGTTTGGTGAATACTCTACTCTTTGGCAGATGAGACTAAAAGCTGTGTAAAATTACAACTCTCGTTACTCCATAATATTGAGTAATGGTAGTTATGGTGGTGTCGAACTGCATTAAATCTACATTGTGGATGCACCAAAGCATACAAGAAAAGTATTTCTCAGTAAGTGCTCATCAGCTTTGAAAGAGCCTTTCCAGATGAAATAACTTGATGAAATTCTTTATTTCCGATTCAAAATCCTAGGCAATTTTTTTCCTAAGGAATCTGAACACAGACAAAAACATTATTTGTAATGCTGCATGCTTAGTCTCAAATGAATAGCTACTTTCAACACACTGAGGCTAGGAATCAAACTAGCCATGCAAATGAGCAACCAAAAAATCCCACATAATAATAATAATAATAATAATAATAATAATAATAATTATTATTATTATTATTATTATTATTATTATTACCCCCCACTTTATCTCCCCAAAGATGCAGCTTTTCCACTAGTGTCAGTGAAAAGAGAAAATGACATTAATTATTTCCAACTTACATAGGGAATAGTGTCCAAGGTATCAGTGTTGACGATTATAGGAGCAGGGCTGGCCTGGAGAGAGAAAAGAGTGAGAAAATCAGATTATAATACTGGATAATTTGTGTAATACTTGAAATGTCTCTTTCCAAGCTCTACTGTGACGATACAGTATAAAACATATTACAGGGCCAACATATAACTGTGAAAACTGGTCATCCCATTAACCGTAAATCCACTGTTATATTAAGTTGATACCATTTTAACTGTCAAACCTCTATCCTATGGAAATCTGGGTTTTGTAGTTTAATGAGGTATTTAGAATTCTCTGCTAAAGAGAATTCTAAATACCTCATTAGAAAATTCCAAATCACTGCACTAAACTGCAAATCCCAGGATTTGGAAGGAGCGATTACATTTTGAATGCTATGAATGGCTATCATCATCATCACCATCATATTTATTCATTTCATAGAATCATAGAGTTGGAAGAGACCCCGTGGGCCATCCAGTCCAACCCCTTGCCAAGAAGCAGGAAAACTGCATTCAAAGCACCCCTGACAGATGGCCATCCAGCCTCGGTTTAACAGCCTCCAAAGAAGGAGCCTCCACCACACTGGGTGGAGGCTCCTTCTTTGGATTTATATTTCACTGTCTCCTAATAATGAGCCTCATGTCTGATTGCAATGTATTTAACAACAATATAGATAGACTATATTCAAAACATTACTGAAAGTATAAATAAAAGTTATTTTAATGTCAATGAAACCATTTCTGAAGTTAAGCACACTAAAAGGAATTCAATTTCATATCACAATACAGTACAGAATATCCACTAAAACTCATTAAATTACAAAGCAGTGATGACTGGTAACTTTTATATCTGTGAAGCACTGAATCTACCTGAGGTTTCAGATAGCTTTAAAGATGCTTTCTGATTTGCTAAACCTATCTTTGAGATGGGGTTCAGCACCTTGCACATCCACCCCCAAAATTTGGGTTAAAGCTTATATTGAATTCATCATCCCACTGACAAGAAGCCCTGTATATCCCAAGACTACTTCAAAACATTTCCCTGTCCAAAGATAGTGACTCAGATAAAACCAATGGTGGTGAATATGCTCAGTTTCCAGTCCAATCTTTAGCAAAACAATCCAAGGTGCTAATTTGTAGAATAGGATTTGCCATCTTAGATCAGACATTGAAAGTCCATACTAAAACTCAAAGCGGATAAATTGTTCAAGTGACATTGGACCCTCCAACTTCCAGGGTTTGTGGCAAAGTATAAGATGGTGCCTCCGTTTTGACGAAGCCAAGTGGATTGCCGAAATGAATGCTGCTTTCATTTTAGCAATGATACATTTGGTCAACCCATGGTTTTGGGAGGCTTAATCTTAGCAACACACAGCAAAGCACAGTTGTGGCCTTGTTATAATAGGGATCCCTTCTTTGTTACCGTATATTAGCTACTGGTTCAAATCACTTGACATGCAAAAATGGATTTATTTTTCTTGTTTGTTGCTGAGTGATCTCAAGTCAATTTCTGAGTTATGGTGAATTTCCCTGCCCAGTCATGAAAGCTCCTTAGATGACCCTGGGCAAGTCATACTCTCTCAGCCTCAAAGCAAAGGCAACCACCCCTAGACAAATTTTGCTAAGAAAAAATTGTGAGAGGTTCACATTAGAGTCACCATAAAGCAAAAAGTAGTTGAAGTCACATAACAAAACCAAAAGAGGGAACTATTTTTTATTATTTATCGTGTCATCAGCAACCATTGTTTTACAATTCTAACAGAGTAAAACAAACACACAGATTAAAAAGAAAAAGGAAAAAAACACACAGATTTTGCAAATTTGGTATTTGGTTAAATGTCCCTTGACCAGTATCTGGCCACTTGGAGTGCCCCCGGGGCTGCTGCAAGAAGGTCCTCCATTGTGCATGTGGCAGGGCTCAGGGTGCATTGCAGCAGGTGGTCAGTGGCTTGCTCCTCTCTGCACTCGCATGCCGAGGATTCCACCCTGTAGCCCCATCTCTGAAGGTTGGCTCTGCATCTTGTGGAGCCGGAGCGCAGTCTGTTCAGCGCCTTCCAAGTCGCCCAGTCTTCTGAGTGCCCAGGGGGGAAAGAGGGAACTATGACATGTTTTTTACTTACAAACTTGCTCAGAGTGACTTTTTATTGACAGCGTGACTTGCAACAAGAATGACTGGTCCCGCAAAACCCTCTTATAGTGCCGAGGCTGATTAAATATGGTTTTTTGTAGGTGAGCAGATGTGAATACTGGGTGGCATATGTTCTGTATCAGAAGCTGGAGATGAGGTGGTCTATCCAACGCAATTTTCTGAATAAGCACCCCAAATAACCAAACCAAATCTAAAGTTGACCAAAACCCGATTCATAACCCTTTTGGAACTAATGTTGGAGCGTGATCCCTGGTTAAAAAAGTTGGGAACCACTGATCTATGTAGAGAATGGTGAAATGTGGGCACGGCCTCCCAAAATAAGATTTCTGCCCCACAATGAAATGTTTAGATAACTCTCCAAAGATCTAGCACCACAGAAATATAAAATGCAATTTAAGCATTTAGAGAAGAGCTTTCCAAACATTTAGTGTTGGCGACACACTTTTAGACATGCATCATTTCATGACACAGTTATTCAGTTTTAGTAACAAACTGGAGATTGAATCAATCCCTTATAACAGACACACACACATATTGTAGTAACTAAATTTATGGGGACACAACATGTCTCATGAAAACCTTTCATTTAAATATTTTAAAAATATATTATTTATTTTTCACACAGACTCATGGCTTTCTCATTACATTTGTGCAACATACCTACACACTGTAGCTGACACACCAACACACAGTTTGGAAAGCCCTGATTTCATAAACTAATAATAATAAACTTTAAATCCCACCCCACCCCTTGTCGTAAAGGACTTGAGGTAGCTTACAACAAATAAATATAAAACCAAGCTAAAGTACAAACATACTACATAATACATAAAGGCAAAATCAGAAAACATCACAACTAACTAATGAGCCCCTGGTGGCGCAGTGGGTTAAATCGCTGAGCTGCTGAACTTGCTGATTGAAAGGTCACAGGTTTAAATCCGGCGGGTGGCATGAGCTCCTGTTGTTAGGCCCGGCTTCTGCCAACCTAGCAGTTCGAAAACATGCAAATGTGAGTAGATCAATAGGTACTGCTCCAGCGGGAACGTAACGGCACTCCATGAAGTCATGCCGGCCACCTTGGAGTGTCTATGGACAACACCGGCTCTTAGGCTTAGAAATGGAAATGAGCACTAATCTCCAGAGTCGGACACGACTGGACCTAATGTTAGGGGAAAACCTTTACCTTTACTAATTTATAATATCATAATAAAATACACAGATTAAATTTGCCAGGCTTTAAAACATATTATACACCAGGGCATACCAGTTCAAACCAGTTGGAGTACAGCTATAAAAGCCATCATCATAATAAGTTAAAGTTAATAGTTTCTGAACGCCTCCTTCCACTTCCTTGTTTTCAATTCCCTGGCATTCCAGAGCTGGGGCGCCACCGAGAAGGTCCTTTCCCACGTTGCCACCAGCTGTCCTTATGAGGGTGGTGGGACCACGAGAAGGGCCTCTTTGGAGGACCTTATGGCCCAAATGACTTAGATACAAAGTCTCGGCATTCATTAAAAGAGAGTGGGAAACAAAGTAACCAAGGGAATCCAAAGAAAGAATAGGAGTTATAAGTGTGATTGGTTTTTGAGGTGTCATTCTTCACAAATGCTATAAATTTGGTGAATGAAGGAAAACATCATTGGTGGCAGAATTCTTATGGGAAAGCAATGTCCTCATTTTACTCTCCTATATGCAGCTCCGCCCCTGAATTCCAGCGTCCTTCCCATCACCTCTGTAACCTGACTAAAGGCTCTCTTCCTTCTGGTGCATCTTTTTTTTTTTCTATCTGCAGGTTTAATAGGAAGCAAAAGCTTCCAGCTGGGATTTTGGACTGCCTTGCAGATAAGGCAGCTGACAGTTGGAGTGACAGATTGGAATCCCATCCCTGGGACAAAACTCAGCCAGGCAGTCTTTTTTTAAAAGTGGGATACTAATAGCTTTTGGCTTTTGGGAAGGACTTGTGATCAACCATCCAATAAAGCTATGGGCATTTTTAAAGAAATATCGGCACTACTATTTCCCCTTACCAGCTATCAATAGCATATACACACCATCAACTTTAATGTTTTTAAAAGAAATCCTTTAATCAGTAAGTGAGAGGGATGGACTTTTGCATGATTAAGGAAAGGAAATAAAAATAAATGGAATGCATATCTGCATGCAATGTGGCATTCAAAATAGTCACAATGTGTGTGTGTTCTGAATGATGATATCGGTCTCTAAGTACAAAACAGTGTGTAGCCCCCAGATATGTCAACTTGTGTAACGTTGCAGCAAATGATCAGAGACGGGGAGTTTGGGTTCAATAACAGGCCAGTGCCCAATTTAAAAGCAAAAGGGACAAGGGGGAAAAAAGGTATGTTATCACTTGGTGAGAGATACAGCAGGGAAAAATGCACCCGTCTCCTTTTTATTGTAGGTCATTCTGCAAAATTAGGTTCACTTGGTTTAATGTGACAAATGACAGATTATGTGCTGAATGCTTAAGGAGGAAAGTAGAAGGAATTCTGTTGGCTTGGTATTTAAAAATGAACTTTGGTCATATCATGAAAAGATTGGACACACTAAAAAAAAGATAATGTTTGGCAGAATAGATTGCATTTAAGATGGATAGGCTCAACCAAGGAAATCATGGCCCTGAGTCTGCAAGACATGAGCAAGGCTGTTGAAGGTAGGGTGACTTGGCCACCATTGCCATATAATGCAGTTTGAAACTGCATTATACAGTCAATGTTGATTGAAATAATGCATTTAAATACATTTAAATGCAGTGAAACTGCTTTATATGAGTATACACTGACTATGTAATGTAGTTGCACTTGGAGGTCTATCATTTGTGGAATTGCCATAAGTTGAAGTTAATAACAAAATCGAATTGCATTTCTGAACTGAT